TGGCGATCAGCACATGTGAAAACAAGAAAGAATTTGCTTATCATGGTAGGTTTCATAGTGTTTTTGTTGTTACTAAGTGTTATCCGGTCGGTTCTAACTCATAGCAATTCTATGTACAACAGAATGAAACACTGTCCTGTCCTGCACCATCCCCATAATCATTGCTATGTTTGAACCCACTGTTGCTGCCAATGTGTCAATCCATCCCGTTGAGGGTCTTCCTCTTTTTCGCTGACTCCATACTTGACCAAGTATGATGTCCTTCTCCAACGTATGTGAGACAAAGTCTCGCCATCCTCACTTCTAAGGAGCATTCTGGCTGTACTTCCTCCAAGACAAATCTGTTCGTTTTTCTGGCAGTCCATGGTGTATTCAATATTCTTTGCCAACACCATAATTCAAAGGCATCAGTTCTTTTTCAGTCTTCCTTATTCATTGTTCAGCTTTCAAACGTATATGAGGCAATTGAAAACACCATGGCTTGAGTCAAGTGCACCTTAGTCCTCAAGGTGACACCTTTGCTTTTCAACACTTTAAAGAGGACTTCTGCAGCAGATTTTGCAGCAGATCTAAGTAAAATGAAATGCTTAACCACTTCGATCTTTTCTCCACTTATCGTGATGTTACTTACTGGTCCAGCTGTGAGGATTTTTGTTTTCTTCATGTCAAGGTGTAATCCATACTGAAGACTGTAGTCTTTGATCTTCATCAGTGAGTGCTTCAAGTCCTCTTCGCTTTCAGCCAGTAAAGTTGTGGCATCTGCATATCTCAGGTTGTTAATGAGTCTTCCAGTAATTCTGATGCCACGTTCTTCTTCATGTAGTCTTGTTTCTCGGATTATTTGCTCAGCACACAGACTAAGTATGGTGAAAGGATACAAACCTGACCCACATCTTTCCTGATTTTAAAACGCACAGTATCCGCTTGTTCTGTTCAAATGACTGTCTCTTGGTCTATGTACAATTAAGTGTTTCGGAATTTCCATTCTTTGAAATGTTATCTATAATTTGTTTATGATCCACACAGTCAAATACCTTTGCGTAGTCAATAAAACACAGGTAAACATCTTTCTAGTATTTTCTGCTTTCAGCTAAGATCCATCTGACATCAGCATTGATATCCCACGTTCCATGTCCTCTTCTGAATCCGGCTTGAATTTCTGGCAGTTCCCTGTTGATGTACTGCTGCAACTGTTTTTGAATGATCTTCAGCAAAATTTTACTTGCATATGATATTGATGATATTGTTCGATAATTTCCTCATTCGTAATATCAGTGCTTAAAAAATTTCCTGAAACTTAGTATGGGACTATTATGAATTACATCATGGAAACAGTATATTAGGAAAGGGAAAAATCCTTTCTTTCTACGCTTTTTGAAGGCAAATTATTTTAAACAAGTTCTAGGAGTCACAGTGTAGATAGTTCTACAGATAATGGGCTCATTCTTGACATAGCTCATCTATTTGGCTGATAGATTGAAGGTCTATTCCTTCTATGTATTTACTTTATTAGCACTTAGGGTTGGGTCTGGAGATCATTACAGCAAATACTTTTTTTATTTTTTATTTTTGAGTTGCAAAAAATAGATGAGAGGTTTGGACAGTGGGCTGTTAATGCCCAAGGCAGAGAGACAGTCATTTCTTAAATCTTTTCAAATAAATGAGTTGGGGAATATTTTACTTTTATTCCCATTTTATAGGAGAAGTGATTAAAACAAAAATTTCAAACAAATCCTGGATTAAAAAAAAAAAAAAACCTATTCCAAGATTCCCTAAGAATACAGATGCACCCTCCTTTTAAAATCCCTGATGCTAAAAATGTATATTAAAAAAAATAAAGATGCTTCTTAGAAGCATTTTTTTTTTCTTTCTGTTTACACAAGGAACACCTTCGGGTGTTTCTGTTTAGGTAAGATTGGAAAATGCTAATTCTGTTTTGTTTATTTGACTAATGGCGTCATAGTGATTAAGAGCTATAGCTGCTAACCAAGAGCTCCGGCTGCTAACCAAAAGGCTGGCAGTTTGAATTCATCAGGCGTTCCTTGGAAACTCTATGGGGCAGTGCTACTCTGTCCTATAGGGTGGCGCTGAGTCGGAATTGACTCGACGGCCACAGGTTGGTTGGTTGGTTTGTTTTATATAGCACTTAATATGTGCTGATGTTTTATAAATGTTAACTTAATAGTACCTGTGAGGCAGGCCCTACTATTATCTCTGTTTGACAGATGATTAACTTAAACAGAGAGAGGTTAAATAAATTGCTGATAGTTATGCAGCAAGTAAGGGGTGTAGATGAGATTTCAGCCCAGGCAGCCTGGCTTTACAGCCCAGGCTCTGCATATGCTGTTTCTGTTAGCTACTGCTGACTCATGGGACCCCATGCACAACTAGATCTGATCATTGTGATCCATAGGATTTTTATTGGCTGATTTTCCCATGTAGCTTGCCAGGCCTTTCTTCATACTCCGTCTTAGTCTGGAAGCTCTACTGAAACCTGTTAAGCATCACAAAAACATGAAAGCCTACATTCTACCTTGGTGAATAGTGTCTGGGGTCTTAAAAGCCTGTGAGCTGCCATCTAAGATAC